ATCAAGAGATTGATTTATAATTTTATATATCATTCTAACTATAAAATTATGAATGCAAAATCATGGAAACAAGGTGTTAATGCATGGATATGGTGCAATGAAATTATAATTGTAATTTGTATGAATTCATTGTGAGTATCTCTTTATGGAATTTTTAAATCGAGACATGGGGCATATTGGAAGGTCGGTGAATAATTAATGGAGGTTTCGTGGGTACTGAATACTGATACAAATTAATTAAAAATTAAACAAAACTGCTAAGCAAATTTGGTAGGGGGTTGGACTCTCTTATCTAACCTACTTAAAGTACAAAAAAGACATTGTAAACAGACCTCAAAATTCAAAAGGAGGGGAGTGAGTGGAGAAGCATGCAATGCATAAAAGAAGACAATAAAAGATGCAAGGCACCATCACTGCATGTTCCCTCGAATCTCTGCTTCTTCTCACTTTCCAAGGCAACTTTTTTTTTTCTTTAAATTGGAAAAAATAATAATAATATATTTAATTTAAGCAAAATACGGTATTTTCTTATATTCCTTTGCTTTCCTCTCATTTTTTTCATCTTTTTTTATTTAAAAAATAAAATAAAAGACTCATATAAAAAAAAATTATCATCTGAGTAAAAAAATTTTTCTCCCTCTCTATCTTTTTTCTCAAACTAAATATATATCATAAAAAAATATAATTTTTTTAATCTATTTACTTAACTTTTTTACATATTTACAACTTGAACCAAATATTTGTAGCTCCATTTAGAGGGGAAAATATTTAAGTCGATCCTCACTTGACTAGACTACTAGATTCAGAAAAGTGGAAGGGCTCATATCACGTCACGTGATGTTCCTTTTTTCCCTTCCCTCAAGGACTGACTACTCCTTTATTTCCTTTCCATAACCACAAAAATTTCTTTAATTAGACCTTAAATCAGGAGATTTAAAACAAAGATGATTGCTTTTGGAAACTACCAAAAACTTTACTCTTTTATTCATCTTCACAGGAGTAAGGTCCCCTTTGCCACCGGAATTGCATATTGACTTTAGATTGTTTTCTTTAAAAAAAAAAAAATTATAATACTTTAATTATATATTATATGTTATTATAAATTTATAATATAATACGTTATTATAAGTTTTATTTATAATTTTATATATTTATTTATTTAATATTATATTTTAATATATTATAATTATAAATTTATAATTTTAAATAATATTACAAGTGTATTGATTAGGAAAATAAAGATAAAATAAACTGGAAAATGGAATTTTTCTTCCCGGTAAATAAATTCTGAAGTCTGAACGCTTTCAGAGGAGTACATAAATCCTCCTTTGTTCCTACATTTTAGAAGCCAATTATGTGGGGTTGGAGGAATCCATCATGCGCCTGTGTAACTCCATGCTCCACACATGCAAAAAAAATGGTAGAAGGAAAATTCGCTAGGAAACAGGGTCCCGTGTCCGCAATCATATATTCAAAATGACTTGTTACCGTATGTTTATTTATTGTTGTTTCTCTGTCGTTGCTAATTCTCCATTTTTGGTTGTTTGTTTGGGCAGAAAATGATAAAAGAAATGATGCCGGTTGGTGCCCAGAGCTCTTCAGAGAAGTAGCTATCATGGCTTGAAGGGCCTCTGCAAAGGTCACGTTTCTAGGTCATGGTTTTGTTGGTATGCCCGAAGAATTTGTCTGTTGTTTGTCTTGCCCTTTTCACCTCTGGGAATTTTGTTTTCATTCCTTTTCATTTTGCTTTATTTGTTGTTGTTTACTTACAGCTACCTCAGCCCTCAAGACAGTTGATGTTTTCTTCATTTCCTTTTCAACTCGATAGTTTCTATTGTTTTGTTTGGGTTTTTTGAAGGGTTATCTTTGTGTGTATTGATGTTTTTTTTTTTTTTTTTTTTTGCTAAATTGATAATGGCGTCGATGTACATTGATTTTGTTTTGGCAAAAATGATCTAAACATGATTTGTGTTTTGAAAAAGACATCTTTTGATCATTTCCTCGTATATGAATCCATTAAGTACTGAGAGGATCCCAAATTGTAGGCTCTTATATTGGGAGAAGATGTTGTGTGCTTGTTCAGGCGAGGAATTCAAGTTTGAGGACACTCCACAGTCGCCGGAATCACTGGCGACCAGAGATTTCTCCGCCAGTGGGCTGTCGTTATCACGAACTGCAGACTGGGAACCAAGACTAGGTGATGATCAAGTCGATGAGGCTGAATCCACCCTTAAAGAAGCTCTCTCCTTAAACTATGAGGTGGGTTTAGCCATAGCTACAACAGCCCTTTTTTTTATTATTATTTATTATTATTGTTGTTATTATTATTATTATTATTATTATTTATCATTGTGAGTTTGTTTTATTATTCAGGTACTAATAAATTTTGTTTTTGAATGAATTTACAGGAAGCAAGGGCTCTGTTGGGGAGGTTAGAGTACCAGAGTGGGAATTTTGAGGCTGCACTTCAGGTGTTTCAGGGTATAGACATTAGAGGCTTAACACCAAGGATGACCAAGGCTATTGTTCAGAGAACTCAGCAGAGAAATCCGCGGTCCAAAGCCAAAGTTGATGTTATCCCTCCCATTCTGATGTCTATGCATTCAGTGAGCCTGCTTCTTGAGGCAATTCTACTGAAAGCAAGATCACTGGAAGGACTTGAGCATTTTAGAGGTATTGCCATTTTATCATCTATAAGATCTTTGTGTATGTGATAATAGCCAACAAAAATTGTTTTTATTGTTGTGTTAATTTTTTTAAAATTTTTTAACTGCTACTATGACTGAATACTAATGAAACTTGATATATTGAGTGGTTTAAGTTACTGCAAATTCAGTTTTAGGCATAGAAAGTCAATATTCTTATAAAAGGAGGATTTAAATAGTTCTTATACCCTTCTCATTTGTAGAGGCTGCAAAGGAGTGTAAAACAATTCTTGATATAGTTGAACCAGCCCTACCTAAAGGTATGTCTGGGGCCATTGGTGAGGACTGTAAGTTGCAAGAGATGTTCCACAATGCATTGGAGTTGCTTCCTAATCTATGGATAAAGGCAGGTGACCTTGACGAAGCTATAACTGCATATGGCCGGGCTCTGGTTAAGCCATGGAATTTGGATCCCCAGAGGTTGGCAAATATACAAAAGGACTTAGCTATCACGTTACTCTATGGTGCTGTTGAAACAAGCCTCCCCCATCAATTTCAGTTTTGGGGTCCTGCAACCCCTAAAAGTAATACAGAGGAAGCAATCCTTTTGCTGCTGGTACTTATGCAAAAGGCAGCTTGTGGGGAAATACAATGGGACGCAGAAATTATGGATCACCTAAGTTATGCATTATCAGTTGCTGGGCAGTTTGAATTGTTAGCAGATCATGTAGAGCAGGTCCGTCCTGGTATTTATAACCGAGCTGAGAGGTGGTATGTTCTTGCTCTTTGTTATGCCGCTGCGGGTCAGAATGAGTCAGCCTTGAACTTACTAAAGAAGGTTTTAGGCTGTTCAGAAGCAAGGCATAAACCTCATATTCTCGCTTTACTCTTGGGAGCAAAATTGTGTTCTCAAGATCCCAAGCATGCTCATGATGGAATAAATTTTGCTCGTAAAGTGATTGCGGCAAACCATCTGAATGAGCATTTCATGGGTCAAGCACACAAGTTCCTTGGTGTTTGTTATGGGAATGCTGCGAGGATTTCCATGTCAGATTCTGAAAGAGTTTCCTTTCAGAAAGAATCTCTCGTCTCTTTAAACAATGCTGCTCTCAATGGGAAGGAGGATGCAGAAGTGATATTCAGCCTCAGCTTAGAAAATGCAGTTCAAAGGAATTTGGATGCAGCCTTTAACAATGCAATAAAGTATAATGATATGGTGGCTGAAAGCTCAGGAAAAGGTTGGAAACTGTTGGCTCTTATACTTTCTGCAGAGCAGAGGTTCAAGGATGCTGAAACCATCACTGAATTTGCTCTAGATGAAGCGGCAAGGTTAGATAAGTTAGAACTTCTTAGATTGAAAGCTGTCCTTCAAATTGCTCAGCAACGGCCCAAGCAAGCAATTGAGACCTACAGATTGTTGCTAGCTCTGATTCATTCGCAAAAAGAGCCTCAGTCCCAGAACCTTGTTCACACAAAGAGCTCCAACTCAGAGGTTTGCATTCTCTAGCCTTAAAAGTTAAAACTGCTGAAGTATTCTGCTGTAGTTATAGTACAGAAGATATTAGATTGTTGATTGAGGATACTTTATAAATATGCTATTTTTTTTTCCTCCCTTTATATATATATATATATATATATATATTTGCTAATTTGTCTTCCTTTACAGGCTGCAGCAGAAAGAACTATGGAAGCAGCAGCCTGGCAGGATCTAGCTACCATCTATGGCAGATTTGGTTCATGGTCTGATGCTGAAATTTGTGTTAAAAAAGCAAAGTCAATTGAATTTTATTCACCCAGAAGCTGGCACACAACAGGTAGGGATCTTGTTGCTCATTTGTTAATTGATTTCTCTTGTTTTCCCTCTTTAATTTTGATGGCATATTTTCAGGTATGTTATTTGAAGCTCAATCCTTGTACAGAGAGGCTCTAGTATCCTTCTCCATCTCACTGTCAATAGAACCAGATTATGTGCCCAGCATCGTCTCCACCGCTGGAATTCTAATGAAATTTGGGAAGCATTCACTCCCAATTGCAAGAAGCTTTCTGATGAACGCTTTACGATTAGAACCCACGAATCATGAAGCATGGATGAACCTAGGATTGATTTCAAAAATGGAAGGCTTGTTGGAACAAGCAGGCAACTTCTTTCAAGCTGCTTACGAGCTAAAGCTAACAGCACCTGTTCAGCCCTTCACCTGATCGTCATTTTACTTGAAGTAATTTGTAGATCGGTCAATGTAACCCAGTTCGTTTCACCTTAAGATATATGAAAGAAATTAATTGATACGTTCCTTCTCAGGAAGTGTGTATGGCAACCATGGTACTTTGAATGGTTGGATTTATCTTCTTTATGAAAAAAGACTTACGATATGCTTGTGATGAAAGGAATAGAAGAGAGGAGAAAGTTTTTTAAATAATTAAATTATAACGTTTTTAAAACATTATAATTTAATTAGTTAAAAAAACTCTGTCCTCCCCTTTATTTCCCTTGACCAAACATATGCTTACAGTGCAACCCCGGTATAACCCATGCAGTAAAAATAAAGTTTTGATAACTAAATAAAATCATAAATGAGTCTAATTCTCAATCACTCAGGTACGCCTAAATTGGAATCCACAAATAAAATTAACTTTTGATATAACATGGATACAGCTGACATGGTATCCAGATTTCACAGAAAACTTTCTCCTACTGATATCAAATTATACTAAATCAAGGAATCTAAATTCTAAAAGTACAAGGAACTGAGTCATGGGCGACTGGCCATTAAATTCAAATAGAGGGAGTTATAATTATAGTGAAAATAAACCATGTCTAGGTTGAGATTGTAAACAAACATGTGTCTTACACTTTCTTTTCAAACTGTACAGGATAATTGAAAAAATTAGAATCAAATTGGACACATATGACTTGGGATGTTCATCAATTGCTCCAGGAAGAGTAACTAGCTACGCAGAGAATAGGGCAGAAGCCAATCTTACTACTGCAAATAGAAAATACAGGTTATAAGGAGGTAATTGTGAATTATTAGTATGGCACTTCCGCTCTGTGCCAACTGCCAACCACAAGAAAAGTTTTGCTGGAAACTAGACCTCTTGCAAAAAGTTAAGAATTTTTTTTGTCTTTGCCAAAGAAAAGTAAGTTCCCAAATCCAAAAAAAATAAAAGTAGGAGCTCTGGAAAAAGGACATTATAGAATAAAGCCCACATGCAAGGGAAAAACATTTTCAGAAAAGGTTTACAATTACAAACAAAACAGCAGGTAGAATGTTTTACCTATTTACATGAACTATTTTGAATTGCACATAGAAGAAGACCTTATCCCATCTGCCACTGCACCAAATAAAAGGCAGGGTTAAATACAGTTCCTATGACCTCCATAAAACATGAGAAATGGAATGGCCTAATGAGGAAATTAACAAAAAAATTCATGATTAAAATCTGAGGGCAGCAATGGCATCATATATAGAGTAAAATCTATGATCTTAGACGGAGAAACATTCATAAAGTTATTTGGTCAACAAAAGTAAACATTGAGACTGGAGTATATTAGCATATTAATAAGAGCAGAAACCTTTAGAACTGGTTCGCCTTTGTTTGTATTTGCAGATTGTTTTGCAGTGGCTTGTAGCTGAGCACGTGCAGCTCTTCCCGCAGCTGACTTTTCAAACTGCTCTTGCCTGCAATCATGATCATTAGAATATAAGCAGTAAGTGGTATCATCATCATCATCATCATGCCTTATCACTTCAATATCAAACGTAGAAGAATTAAACCAGGATCTCAACATGCTAATACTGAAAACAACATTCTCTCTTTATGAACATTGGTCGGTTGATCCTACAAATATACAATCTTGGAGACATAATAGGATCATATCTAATAGGCCAAATCCCCTATTTGAACCCTATACATTATTTTTTTCTACGATCAACACCTTTACAAATTTTTACTCTTAGTCAACACCTTCCATAATTTAAAACCTATAAAAAACTCAAAAATTAATAGTCAAACCCCCTATTTGTACCCTGATTTTGTAGGTAATTTGGGATTTTTTATGGGTTTTAAAATATAAAGGGTGTTAATTGGTAGTGAAAATTATGGAGGGTGTTGACTGGAAAAAAATAATGTGTAAGGTGCAAATAAGGTGTTTGGCCTAGACTATCAAGTGTTATGACAGCTAATTCAGATCCTACCAGATGAGATTGGCCTCGACAGGCAAACAAATCTGAACCAAATACAAGATATTGATTAGTAATCTTCAGATCATTATGATAATAACAAATGAGATCATACCATTAATGCTTCCTTTTTTTTTCTTTGTTTAGGTGATATTTTGAGGCACAGTTATCATGAAAAACTAAAAACTTCCATCATTAAAACACATACCAAAACAGTAACTATAAAATAGAAATGCTTTGAGATGACTCATCTAAGCATTCCCAAACATGTTTTCAACATTTCTGATTACACTTCCCTTCTCATAATGCTAACCAGGCAGGAAAATGTCAGAAGAATGAAGATAATAAGCACCAGGAAAACTATTCACCAAACACAACCAAGAAGAGATACCCAATTCCAAATACTTAAAAAAATTATGTTCTACAACGCAATCATGATTTCTTAAAGCAGTAAAAGTTGATTTTCTTCATTAGCAAAAGCCTCCAATAATCAGATAAAATCTAACTGCTTTCCTACTACTTTGCTGATAAAAAACTGCGAAAACCCAGTAAATATTTGATTACGATTGTAATTACAATAGAGTTTTTGGATGAATTGCAATAACATGGCCAATGAACGATAAGTAAGAGGAGAGATTACCGCTTCTGCGCAGCCTCGGCTGCTTTAGCCCGAGCTTCGGCGGAGGCTAATCTATCTTGTTCTCTTCTCTGTTCTTTTCTCTCGGTGCTTACTCCGTGGAAGCAAGAGAAACACCCCATTTCCTCCGCAGGATCTGAATCGGGGTTCTGCTTCTCTCTTCGTGGACTGTTGACGCGTCTCTTATCGGGTCAATTTTGGTTAAACCTGCAATTTGATCCCTCAGCTTTCGTACGGACCCCGAGTGAGTCCCTTAACTTAAAAATCTCTGACTTTATCCCTAAAGTCTGGTGTTTTGACTCCAACTTGGTCTACCCGTTAAAAATTTGCTAATGTGTGCTGTTATCTAATAGAAAAGAGAAATGCTATTTTTGAACCATCTTTTTATCTCATCTTTTTATATAATTTAATGTGTCATTAAAATGATTGATTCTTTTAATTTATATGAGACTCGTGATATTGAATGTATCAATTCATTTAATAATATATGAAAATGGTATAAAAAAATGAGACAAAAGATTGTCCCAATAGCATCACCCGATTAAAAAAAAAAATGACATGTAAAAATATTTGTACACATAGGATTAACAGCATGGCACATGTAATTCCCAACTAAAAGTTAAAATACCTTGAACTAATTATAAATTTAAAATTATATTTTAACCCTCATCTTCGACCAAGCCTCAATCTCTTCCCTTTTTCCTTTGGTTCCCCCTTCCTTTTCATCTCTAGCCTCTTTCGATGTTCATCTCCTTCCTGATCCTTACTCGCCAGCCTTGGGGATTGAACCTTCTCTTTTTCTCTCCTTCGTCTAAACCATGATTTCTCTCTCGTCATTTGGGTCACCTTGTTCAAAGTCCAATTGAAACCCTAACAACGATTTTGAGGGTGAGAGCGGAGTTGAAAACGGAAGAGCCGAAGAGGAGGGGCGAGAATGCGGTCGTTAGAGACATTGCTGCCGACGGAGACTCTTGAGATAGAGAATGGACTGTCTATGGTCTCGAACGTGAAGCTCCTACGACGACCAAGGATGAACGTGAAGATAATGACAAGGAAGAGAGTATTAAGGATGCTGAGAAGAAGTTTTTGGATTGGAGAAGATAAATTGTGGAGAAAATGGACGGAATTGAGATTAATCTTGAAGGAGTTAAATACAAGCTTACACTTTTTTT